GGAAAAAGAATGAGGACAGATGTATTCTCATGTGACAGATGGGCTTTGTGTGGTGCTTTTATATAATTGACTGTATAAACTTAAAGCCAAGTTGGCAAAACTCAAATGAGCAGCATTTTAGTGCAGATTAAAGGGCAGTTCCACCAATTTTTCAATCACTTCATGTAAACAAAATCATTCAGATTGATGTGAAATGTGCTATAAAAGTTTACCAAAATTTGTTCATGTAAAATAATTAAATGCCTCTAAAAGCTACTTCATAGAACATTTTTACACATAATGGCTATTAGGGGTGGGGGGAAAATCGATTCTTAGATGCATCACAATGCGGATGTGGACGATTCTGAATCGATTAAAAAAATAAATAAATAAATTTTAATTTATAACGCAATGTTGACGGAACGCAAAAGGCGGAACTTGGAAGAGCAGAAGTGCAGCGTCCGGACACTCTGTGACGTGCACATAACAAAAACACAACTGAATGAGCGAGAAATCCGACCAGGGATTTATTTCCAAGGATTTGCGTCCGTTCTCAGTCTTTGAGAACCAGGGCTTTTGCGCTGTGTTGCACACTTCACTTTGGAGCCAAGATACAGCATCCCGTCTCACAGATATTTTACTGACATAGCCCCCCCCCACTCTCTACAACGACACCAAAACCGAAGTCATGGAATCACTGAATAAAACGGGTAGGATAGCTGTAATCTGCTGCGTGGACACCCACTGCCACGGAATCTTATGTCACAGTAACAGCGCATTTTATCGCAGATGAGTGGCAGTCTGCGTCTCGTGCTCCAAACAAGAGCAGTGAATGAGAGCCTTCCAGTTGACTTGCCACATCACTTCCATTTGTTTTATTAATAACATATATTGGAAGTAAATTCATTATAGATCATTATAAATACTTTGCTTTAAAAGTACCAAGTCCTCACACAGTGGGAAAATAGAAATCCTGTATAGAAAAAAAGATGCATCAAGATGCATCGATAATCGTTTTATAAATCACACTGCAGCCCTCTGAATCATAATCGAATCCTCGTCTTTAAATCATTGACAGCTTTGAGATCATGTTTTGGCCTTAAAATCATATATTTATAATACATGCAGGGCAGAGAAAATCTTGCAGGGTGCTATAAAGAATAATTAGTAAATAAAACTTTTTTTTTACCACTATTTTACCATCATCATTATATATGACAATACATTGTATTGGCTCTTACTATTTCAGGCTCTTACTATATAGTAAAAAAAACGGCTAATTTTGTGCAGTAGACAACCTCTGGTTCCTTTCATCACTGTGAAAAAAAATCAGAGTCATTAATTTTCTCTACAATGAACCATTTCACATCTCCAGTTTTCAACAAAATTTTGTAATGCTGAAGAGTCAATGCAATTCCTCTTGAAATCCCATCACTCTGGCTGGCAAAATATAAGGACCCACATCTGACAAGAGGCAACATGAGCCATTAGCACTCTTACCTATGTTAATGTCAAGGGGGAAATACTGTCAGACAGAAAACACAGCAGACAGAAAGGCAGGCACAGGCAGGACTGAGACTCATAACAAATGCAAACACCATTCTTACTTTTAAAGCATTATAATATAATCAGGGCTTTAAAGATTAATTCGTGATTAATCAGTAAAAGCATTTGCTCTGTTTAAAAGAACTGTAACTTAGCTAATGCTAACTTAACTGAACAGTAGTAAGTAGCTAGTTAGCATCACTAGCTAACAGTGGTTTATTAGCTTCAGTCTTAAGCAAATGAGCAGCTCTTCAGTAGAGTTTAAAGGTCATAAACTTGGGCTTTCGAGAGAACTCCCAGAGCTGAATGCAGGCAGAGAGAGCCTCTCCCGTTCCCACCCTCTGCTCGCATTTCTGTGACACACCATCAGCCCCGGAGGAAGAAATATGACCCGATCCGCCCGGCTATCTGAAGCTCAGCTCACATCACCTGCCAGAGGACTGAGTGCATGCATGCTTCAGCAGGTGCTCACTACTCGTCAGCTGACTGACACATGCATCGAAACAAAGCCCCCTCCATTATCACACTGGAACACTCTCAGTGACAGTTCAGCAAAAAAAATCGAATTTACACAATTCTATCCTTTATCCTACATGTAGTACATCAGCCAGGGCATGTTTACAGTCAGTAAAAGTTTAAATGTACTTTTATAAATTTTGTAATGGAGCTGTAGGATAATCTAAATATACAATACAGAAGTATGGACAAGATTCAGGCTTTAAGATGACTGATACTAATGTTTTTATACGTATAGGGGCGAGTAATATTACGATATTTATCATTACTGAGATAAATTACATAACATCACATGACAATATACTTTTCTGAATATATTGTGGATTTGTGGTTACTGTGGATTAAGGGTTGATGAACAGACAACTGCAGTAAACCGCAGAGAAGGAAATAAGAAGAAAACATTGGTTGTTGTAGGCTTACATACTTAAACACTACACTAAAAAAAAGGATGGTTCTTCAAAATTTCTTTAGTAAAGGCAATGGTTCTATTAAGAACCATGAGTTCTAAATAGAACCTTTTAATGCTTAAATGGCTCTGCATGGAGAGAATCCTTGAAGAACCATCTTTTTTTGAGTGCGTACCTTTTAAGGTGACAGGCAGGTGTAGCAGAATGCAGAGGAACACTTTTTAAAATACATTTTTTATTTGTAATTAGCCAAAGGAAATCCGTTACCAGCTATTTAGGGCTAGCTAATGATCTAAGAGAGCCAACCAGTACAGCGCTGGAAGGTGATGAAGACTCCTTGTCTTCTTACAGGTGGAAGGTCATTGCTTGTTAACTACATCAACCTTGCAGCTCTACTGCAAAGCTAAAAAAAGCAAAGCTCAGACATTAAACATGTCTTGGCAGATCAACCATATTTGGTATGAAGAGGAAATTACGCAAATGTATTTTTTTTCCATTCTTTCGCTGACGTTTTAGAAAAGGTCAATAAAAAACATGAAAATTAAATTTATGCTAGTATTTAAGTCAGCAGGTTAAAGTAGGGAGGAAAAGGCATCTAGAGCACATGTATTTATCCTATGTATCCAATATATGACAGAAGCTACGCACTGCACAGCGCTTTCCCTTAGATAAAGGGCTGAGAGGATGTCCAGACCTGTCTTCATTGTCCTTTCCTCCTGATGGTTATGAAACTAGATTACCGAGCTCAGCACTGATGGACGTGCGGGCCCAGGCACACTACAGCACAATCATTTCGGAAACTGTCTCTTTCACTCTGGCATAAGGTTAAAAAAAGGACTCAAGTTCACTGATAAGACACCAATGATATGATCAATGATATAAAACCTCATCACAAGGTTTTACAAAGCCACAAGGCATAAGCCGCAGCCAATAATACACTAAAGTCCTACAGTCACACAAACAGAAGACAAAAGTGGTTCTTTTTGCCAGCACATGTAAAGACCTGCAAGAGGCCACGAGGCCTAAGAAAGCTTTTAGCTGTTTACACTAAACGGAGAATGCTGGCAATGAAATGCAGTCTATTCAAAGCCAAACACAAGAAATGGAAAATCAGAAAGCAAACACCATTCAACTTAACAATATAACAAAGGCAGCAATGATTTATCAGTGATTAATCAGGAAGATATTTGTCCTCTTTGAAAGGGTTAACTAAGCTAATGAAAACCAGGCTAATGTAAAGAGAAAAATGAAAATGTAGCTGGTGTCTACTGCTAGTTTATTAGCATCAAAAATGAGTAAGATAATATACTGGAGACTGGAGTGATTTCTCAGTAACGAATATGAGTTTTACCTTATGATACTACAGACTAATGATTAATATGAAATAAATACAAAACAACAGATCTAAACAAAAATGTATATAAACAAATCTGACTTAAAATTAGATTTTATACTACCAATTCTTTTCCCAGGTGGTTACTATGCACCTAAACAATACAGAATATTCATATCCTTCATTTCAACCACTCACCCATTATTCAAACCCTGATTGTCTACAATATGCACATCATCAGTCACCACATTCAGTCTTGTGTAAGGCAAAGTATTTAAGAGCAGTACAGTCACGATAAAAAGAAAATCTAACGACTGTACATTTAGCTGAACTAAGCTCTAGGCCAGCCTTGTGAAAAGCAAAATAGGCTAAACGAGAACAGATCAATTAGTACACTTTCATAGTAAGGATATCAATCATGACTGAATGATTGATAAGATCAGTGCCTTGAACTGGATGAATAAACATTATCATCAATCAGCAAACTGGCTTCAACTGTCTGAAATGACAGAAAAAAGGAATAAACTGACACCTCCCTATTTTGTTGCCTTCATGAGGCTGTGGGTTCTAGACTCATACATCAGGACATTGCTTTGATATTCTTTTTGCAGTTTAAAGGCTTAAGGCTTTGACAAAACACCTACCAAACAAGGAAAGGAAGACAGCATGGACAACAGAATGAGAGAACAATGAAGGAAAGGGAAGCCACGAGCGGAGCCAAGGCAGAGCATGAAAAGGAAACAGCAGAGTAGGCATTCTTTCATCAAGTTAATGATACTGGACGTTATAAGCTGATGCTTAGGAAGCCGTTTGGGGAGTTTGGGGTGGGGGATGAGTCCTGTCATTTCAGCAGGGCTTTGTTTCAGTGATAAGCACCTGAAAACAAGCAACGTCCCGAACAACGGTGATCGTCAAAGAGTTGTTCTTTCGTCAAGACAGTCACAGAGGCAGGAGAGAGACATTTTTTTTATTTGCATGGACAGTAATTACTGCCAGGTTGGCTACAGAATAAAACACATGCTGTGTTCTCAAGCAGAGCCAACCGTGAAAACGAGGCTGGAGCATTTGCCAGCTTTTTCGAATTTTCCCGTTCCACCTTAAACAGTGCGGCAGCCTCAGGCGCCAGAATGTAACTGCTGGACAATTTAAGGTGGAACAGGAAAATTCGAACAAGAAGTTGGGAATAGGAAGCGGACTTCAGCTTCGTACAAAGGACTCACCTTAAAATAACCACCCTCGTAATGTGTATTTGGAGGTCCGAAAATCGCCACTTCCCAGTTGTACAAGTCCGACTCGTCCACCAAAGTTATTTTGAACCCTTCTACGGGCTCATCCTGAAGACTTTTCAGCTCTAGCATTAACGCCTTTTGTGAACTCGCAACATGATGTCCATGCTGAGCCATATTCCGGGCAACAACTCCTACAGTCCGAGTCTTCTTTGGGGAGAACTGGGCTTTTCAATAAACTCTGGTGAAAATGTGGGCTAGCAGTGTTAGCACACACTGTTTACTTTATATCTACTCTTTTTCGACACGCATTCAGCTATGATTCTGCTAACTCTTATGCTTAATTTAATACTTATTTTTTCAACAAATATCAACAAACCCGAACTAGGGCCAAACAGCTGCAGCTAAAATCAACTCACAGTCCTGGGCTAGCGGAAGCTAGCAACGTCTCTTCAGGATTTTGTAGGTGGTTTTGGACATTTGAGCGATTTCTGTGCCACTCTGAATCCGAGTCACGCTGTTAACTTCAACTTCCACAACCTTCACTTGTATTTACTGTAACTATAAAAGTAACTCAGGTCGCCAAATAAAGCAGCGTCCCACGAAGCAGCTAGCAGAGGAGCCACCCAGTAGCGTTCAACCCGCTCCAACGGTCCTTTCACTTCTCTACAGGCAATGTCCGATTCGTAAACGAATCGATCTTTTGAATCGGTTCAATAATTCGTTCGAACGGATTCGCAATCCAAAATAAATCGATTCAATGGAAGTTTTCCCTGAGGTCCACTTACGACGTTTAGGTTTATAAACCAAAAAACAGGCATAATTATTTTTCCATTACCTATTTATGCTTTATATATACACATTTTAAGCATATAGGTTCAAAACATATTGTTCACTCCCCAGTCCATATAATTCGTAATTGGAAACTAAGCTGCAAAAACAGCTGGTTTCTAATTTCTTTGTGGCGTCACTAAAAACAACGCTATTACATAGGTCTATTTACATTGCAGTTTTAAGTGTTTCAGCCTGGAATGTTTTCTGAATGAGGCACAAAACAGGGTGACCAATCAGAACACAAGTCGTTTATAAATCAGTCTTAGGGCACAGTACCAAAAGCAGCCGGTTTAAAGGATATATAGAAGATATTGGAAATAGTTATGAAAATTTTTTTATAAACCCACACAAACGTCATAAGTGGACCTCGAGGAAAAATAAAATGCAAGAAAAACGTAGGATAGGTCCGTTTTAAAAACAACCTAACAAATCTATTCTCTCTGTGCAGACTGTAGCTAGACTTGTCTTAATTTGTGACTCAATGAATCGTTAAATCGTACGTTCGATTCAATAGAAACGGACAGTTCGAATGAATCGGCTCCATCACTGTTCTCTTCAACAGCTGATTGTGTGACAGCCTGAACGCAACACTCAGCAGCCAATGAGAGCGTGGTAATAATACACTTTTCTGGCAGTTGCAAGTAGTTAAAAGTTGTGTTCTATAAATTTCAGAGGTTGTAAATCAGCTTTGAAAATGATCCTATTTTCAACAAGATTTTGACAGCACAACTTTACGACCTCCCTTAGCAAATAAACCCCTTCAAGGCAGGGTGCAACCACTGAGGCATTCTGGGTGGTGTAGTATTTTCTAAACCTCTAAGAAAAACATAATAGAAAAAAACATAATATATTTCACATAGTATCTCATACACAATGAACAGCTATTACATTAAGTCATACTAAGAAAGGGGCTTTCATTTCTTAAAATAATTTCCCTAACTTACATTAATTTATATTTATAATAAAAAAAAAGGGACAAAACACAAACTAAAAGGATATGCACTTATTCAGAAGTCGGAATTTATTGGTACACCATCATCTTCACACACAAAAGAAAACTACAGCAGCCTAAGTTTCTCATAATTCTCTTGGGTGAACCTCTCAATTAAAGGGAACTTAGATAGCAAATTATTGGTCATTCTCTTCAGTCATTTATTCTTGAAACATTATATTACATCATACAGTCAGAAAATACATAGTGAAGGAGTCAGACAGTACCTTCAAATGAAGAGCATTGAGAGTACATTGAATGATACAAGCAAAATCCAGCAAGATCTGCACTACAGTTTGCCAGGGGGAAATCCTTTAGGAGATGGTGGGCTGCTTCACGCGAGCTGCTGTTAACAGCTGGTTACACACATCCATTTGAACATCCCAGTCTTCAACACCAACGAAACCCGCCCTTCTAATGATATAATTTAATGCAAAACTTAAATTTTAAAAACATTCCAAGACTTTTTTTTAAATTGCATGTACTCTGAACAGATAAAAATACATTATACCATCAAAAGTGTAGCATGAAGAAGCCAACTTTTACTGAATATACTGTATATATTTATATATAAAAGAAAACTAGAAAATACAACAATAAAGGAATGGTAGGGAGCTTTTGTATGCACGTGTCCTTGTATTAGACAAAGTAACAAAAAGTATACATTCCTACTCATGCAAGATATAAATCAACTCTGCACAGAAAATATCTTCAGTATTGTTAATAGTTACAGGTGGTTCTCCCAGTATCCTGTGATTTACCCTGTGTTCATATAGATGACCTGATGCTTTCGGGTGACTGAAAGTTGCATTCACATGGCCACTGATAACTGTGGACTTTAGGTGGACATATCTTATAAAACAGCAAACCTGCATTATGTTGGGTCATCTGTATGAACGGCCGGCATGGTCAGTATTTGCAACTACATGAGAAGCATCTTGATTTAAACCGTATACACTAGTCACGTGATTATTGACTAATGCTGTTTAATTAAACACTTCAGCAACAAATCTTACTTGTAGAGTTTAGAGAAAGGAGGACTACTACTTCAGCTGGATGTTAAAACTGAGTGCTACAGCGTGCTGGACCAGGCAAACAAAAACAGAAATTACATTAGAGCAGGTTCCTCAATTAGCACAAGTACAGTAGTGTGGAAACAAAAAGGCATTTGGAAATAAAATGAGGAAAAAGATGTAATTCACCACAGTTTGCCAAATGAACAAGGCAGAAGAACAGACAAACATAGGTATGAGCCAGGCCTTTGTCCAGGTAACAGGAAGTTCAGTTGATGAAAAAGTGACACCAACAGTATGGAGGGCACATTTCGGAAGGATATTAAGCTTCCCATAAACAGTAGTCTCCAGAGAGAGCCAAGGAACCACGTACTACAATACTGACTGAAGAAAATTAAGCTGATGTTCAACTGATACTTTTGGTTTGGTCACTGATTTGTCAGAATTAGAAATCCTTCATAACTTCATGTGGAGCCTTCGAAAAGACACTTTTATCTAGGTTCCTGGTTAATCATGCTGTAACAACCATCAGGGACGAGAGACCTGGAGTAATAACCTTGATGACCCTGACAGAATAGTAAGCGTTAGTTACGCTGTTCATTATAGCAAACCTCCTCGAAGTCTTAGTGTGCAGTAAACTTGTAAAGCTGTATGCTTTACAATAATAATGGAAAAGGCCAACAGACACAGTAGAGTAACAGTGTTGTATCTGCTTCATTCTGTCATAAGTTTCATGGGTTACAAAGTCCAAGCTATTCGGAACTTGGTCCCAGAACTCACCCGTTTTCTCCAAGTCCAAAAGTGCACCAGGTTACATAATTGGAACCACGTGGCAGGGCTCGTGCAGTACAGCTACTTGGGGGACATTGTCAAACTAAAATTTAGGCCTGTTGGAGGCTGGAAAGTGGGCTGGGCAGGGTTTCTGGCATGAAGCTGAGAAATCAGGTTCAGAAAGCTCTCCACAAGGGGTTGAAACAGAGTAAGAGAGATAGAAACAGACATACCGCGCGCACACACACACACACACACACACACACACACACACACACACTCACATGGGGGAACTGACGCTAAGCTCATGTTTAATGCAAGGGGGGAAAAGGCGCTGAGAGAATGAAAGAAAGCAACAAACAAAACGCAAAACAATACGAATAAAAAAAAAGAAAAAAAAGAAAAAAAAAGTCACCCAACATCATCGACAAGAAGAAAATAAATCCAGTTACTTAAATGAATGTCAGCTATTAAGACAATGGGAGAGCAGAAAGGGGTTAGGGAGGTTAGTGGGACTGAATGTTGGACTGACACTGATACAGGAGAAGAGGTTTAGGAGAAAAATCAAAAGGAATGTGCGTTTGCAGTGAAGCAGGAAAGTGTGGATCCACACAACTTAAACACATCAGTTGTGTGATCTCACGAAAGAGGAAAAAGACTAATAGAACAAGAGATCCAATAAATACAGGGAGGAGGGAGGTGGAGCAGAGGGGAAGCCAGCCTCAGTGTTTGTGATATGATTCTGAGTGTTGGAGGGGTTTGGGGAGAGGGCGAGGGCACCATCGGTCTCAGACACAATCAGCACTGTGAGAAGGTCTGCTTTATCTCGTCCAGCACGTTCCCCAGCAGCGACGGCTCATCACATTTAGCGTCAATGGAGACGGTCTGATCAGCCTGAGACAAAGAGAGAATATGAGTTGAGAATAGATGAAGTAGGAAGAAAAGTGTAAGTTGCAAGCGATAAAATGAAAATGTATATAAAAAAAAAAAAAAAATAGTTTACACTTTTTGTTGCCCAGCAGCTTGCTTCCATTTTTTATCAATGACCTTTCACACAAGTTTTGGTTTATCAATAAAAAATGTGTTTGACATGTTTCTATCCCTAATTTTTATGCTGCAACAGGTGTACCATTGGCTGACCTGACTTCACCGTAACCTACTGATCAGGAAATTTGGTTTATTTTAGTTTTTTTACTTGACTTTGCTTTACCTACGTTCTTATTTACTTATTTGCTTGCTTGTTTGTTTGTTTATTGATTGATTGATTGACCTTGGAACTGTTAAGCGAGATTACATTTCTCTACCATATAGAGGTGTGTAAAGCACTTTTAATTTAGAAATGCTGTAAGCTTTTCTGTATCTCAGTAAGTGTTGAAAAGTGGCAGCATTCCTTTTAAAAATACTCTCACCTCCTCCTCAGTCTAAATATACCTCTCCACCATGCTGTGTGTGTTTGTTGTAAGAGGTATATGAAGGAAATCTGTGAGGGAAAACTATGATACACTAGGGATATGTGAGGAAAAAACAAATGTATCCAGTCTTATCTAAAGCAATCTAGATTGCTTGTATCAGTAAGCTAAATGCAAATGTCAAAAATCTGTGTATGTGACAAAGAACAGGAAATGGAGAACTCACAGTTTTGACCAGCAAACAGACATGGTGACCCTGGATTGACCTGCTGTACATGGAGGCGCAGGAATCGATCCTCTCCACAACTGAGAGACAGAGTAAGAGTGAGTGAGTGAGAGGAAATGAACATTTCATCACTTTCTATGAGCTCTATGAGCTGGCTTTATGTGTTTGGAGAAAAAAAAAAAAAAAGTTAATCTTGTTACATAATCAGTTATCAGTTATCTCAGTTGAATGCTACTATTTTCCACTGTTGGTAGCTTTCACAATCATACGTTTACATTGTAACAAACAAAGTAAATTAGGTCCATTTATCAATTGCGTTGGGCCGAATCGTTGGAAATAAAAGAAAGCCGAAAACACAGAAAACCCGAAATGTGAGACACATCATAGGTCTTTTAAAACAAAAAAAGACCGGCGTGATAACATGTTTGTTTATTTGAGCTTGTCCAATTTAAATATTGGCAGCTAGAAAGATATTTCTAAAATCAGCCAATTTGGCCACTTCAGGCTTATTCTTTAAAATCTGCGTACAATGAAAAAACACATTTACATTGTGAATTAGAACCCTACAATAAAGCTAAAGCTGATACTTAAAAAAAGTGTTTACTAGGGGAAAACACCTACCAGAGAAATGATGATGGAAGCAGATCCTAGCCAAAAGGTGGTGGAAGGGCATGTTGACTCCCTCCAGCCTCAGAGAGCTGCTCTTCAGGTCACCAGACTCCAGCAGCTTGGCGTACGCATCACTGTTTACACAATTACATTGACAAATTTCCATTAACAAACTGAAAACTAGCAATGGCAACACAAACTTTTACACAAGAATTTTGAATTCTAATCAAAAGTGGTTCCTTGTTGCTGACCTGTAGCAGGGAGTGGTGATTAGGTATGATGTGCAGGTAAAGTGCAGTTTGAAGTCCAGTTTTTCATGGGTTGAGGAGTCTTCCGACTGCAGCAGGAAAATAAAAGTATGCAGGTATTTGATGAGACACTGTGCATTTTAACTATACTCACAAGCTTTGTTCTGTTTATTTGCAGACAGTTTCACCTTGACTATGAAGGTGAGGGTTCCTTTCAGTTTCTGAGGCATGACAATACTTTGCACTGAGAAAATGAAGCGGGCCTCATTTGATACCCCTGTGGAACACCAAAGCAAAAATTACAATTTATAAAACTAATCTTAACAATGTGGGTTTAGATTGTACATGAAAAAAGTGTACACCAAGCTTCTGAATTTCATCACAATTTTGGACTATACACACAAAAACAATTTTAACTCTGTTTTGTAAATGTTTTTTGTATCTGTTTATAAATGTAAAATAGCTATGTTTGACAAGTCACTTTTATTATAAAACCTGTGGCACAGTTAAAGCACTTTGAATGGCACCTGGTGGCAGCTGGAAGGGTACGACGAGACCATCATGGGGTCCAGCTCCCTCTGGTCGTTGCAGTTTGGAGTTGAGGGAGTCCAGCACATTGAACTCCATAGATTTGAGAAAGCTGTCACTTTTGTTCTCAAATATGACCGACACGACCACTTGGCTGCCGTCCTGCAAGTTGCCCTGAATATCATACACCTGGAGAAAAAAGGCAATTTTCTTTTACCCTACTGTAAAAAGGCGTCACAATCTTCAGCACAGAGAACACAGTCAAGTTTGAACAGTTCAGAAAAAACAGGTTTAAAGTTTTAAACACACCCTGAAGAGTCTGGAGCACAGAAAGACCAAAGAAAGAGGGAGTCTTTGACTCGGAATTAGTAAGCCTGAAAGCTTTCTATGCACATTTTCTGAATGTGAGGCCAAATGAACGGTACTTACAGTGAGCACCAAAAAAAGCACGTGAAACTGTTTTGGTTCAAGACTTTGAATAAATGGATTTCAAACAGCATAACTTTCTGTACTGTCAATATTTTTGGAGCACACTGTATGCATTTATCTTCATAAATGCTATTCAAGCATGAAGAGAACAGCAAACTATTCTGAAGCATTCCACAGCAAAAGAGTGAAAACCTCTTTACATCAGTGTATTTTGTGTCATTACCTGATTGGCATCCTCCTTCATCTTTAACATACACAGGGAGACAGGTAACAGGGCAACATTAAGACATCTGAATGTCCTAAAAAAATGGATCAGCTAGCAACTAGCCTGGCAATAAGACTGTCTAGTAATAGTAACTCAAACAAAAGGCCTGTGGCCTCTCAATGGTTACAGTAAAAACAGTGAGTAGTAAAAGTAACTTCATCCATAAATAATAACATGTCCAATAATGATCGCAAGAAGGTAATACAGATCAGCTGTTCAGAACACATTTAGACTGCACCAACTGTTTATATTAATTTGGAATTCCTTCAAATTTAATTCAAGCTCCTACTACACTCACCATCTTGATGTACGAGTTTTCAGCCAGCAGGCAGTAGTTCGACATAGGCTGTGAAAAGGATGGGTAAATACATAGTTAATGCAGAGAACTTACGAAAGAACACAAGTGACAGGTGAATATAAGCAATTTCAGGGCTTTCATCATTTCATTTGCTTCAGGAATCCTCTGAAGCAAGGGTGCTAGCTTGCAACTTGTTAGCTTTATGTTTCTACGCACTGCCAGTACATATGGAGAAACTGAACCCTTTAAATACTCCAATAGTTTCCTCAAATAAAAACCACACTACTTTGGTTTTAAGTCTTGTGAAACACGTTTACACCGGTGGTCTCTAAGGGTGTTCTCACATATAGGTCATTTGGTCCACACCAGGGTTGTTGTGACATTGTGTCTTTTCATTTGTTTTGGTTGGGTTTCCACTGCAATGGCTGTGCAACAAATTATGCATGTGGGTGTTTATTTCTGTTGGTCAGAAATTTTGCAGGAATACAATCGTGGTTACTCACACTTGCCTCCATGAAAATAGAAAAACAGAAAACAGAGATGCTTAACATCCATGTGCATCACAATCAACCTTACTTGATATCTGCTTCTTTATGATGGGCTTGTCAATTTGAATTTGACCAAACCAGGTTGCTAATGCCTCACCAAAAATATGTTCTGCCATCATTAGCAGCAGCTCATGCTGCAAGAATGATATGAGTATCTGTCAAGAGTCAGACGATAAACAGGCAGAACATGCAGAAACAGAACAGCACTGACATGCTGGTAGAAAAACAGGAAAGCATGGTCTGATGCTGATTTCCCTCATTTGGCATGGATCATCATTAAAATGTGTTCCCACCATCAATGAACTGAACAAGAATTCACTTAGAAGTGGACAGAGATTCATGATTTTTGGAGGACCACAGTTCAGTTCTTTGTTACAGACCCGACAGTGGCTGGAGTGTTCACACATATCAAAGCAGGCAGAACTAAAAAAAAAATAAAATAAAAAAATAAAAAATAAAAAAGATTGATAGGTAGGTGTATGGTAGGTGTGAAAGTGGCCTTAACAGAGTCTGTTGCCTTAATTGTCAAAGACAGTTACACAGTTTCAGGAGTAACAGACCTTTCATGTATGGTTTTATAACATTGTGTTTTGTTACTAAACTAGGAACTACTAAATATTTTAAAAGAAAAACAAGAGGCTAAAAAATAAGAGGTATAAAAACAGTTGATCTTTCATTGGCTGAGGGAGTAGAATGGTGCAACTTTCTGGTGGGTCAAATCAAATGTCCTTGGACAGCCCTGTTCTAATGCGTGATTTCTAAAAGTTGTTTGTATAAACTACATGAAAATCTTTCGAAGTGGCGTAATAATATAATACTTCCCTTTCTTTTTTTTCTCTTTCAAGAAAGCCAGCACTTGGGTAATAGTCAATTACAGAACTGACTACTCCCAAAAGATTTTCTGCTTACTCCTAGTCTATACCACACTAACAGTTGTGCAAACTAAGTTAGATTAGTGGTCACTCTGAAAGAATAATTTCATTTAAAGTTTCACAAAAATAACACATATGCCAGCTTTTCTAGGAAACAGAGAAGTTCTACTTAGCAGTGTTCTGTGATTGGTGGAATGAAATTACCGGCAGGGGCTCTTCCTCCTCCATGGTTCCGTTTTGTACAGAATCCTCTCCTCCTCCGTCGCTATGGTGGTGATGATGGTGATGCCGCTTCTTCTTCTTCTCCTTTTTCTCCTCTTTTTCCTTCTCTTTCTTCTGCTTCTTTTTCTTATGTTTTGAGGATTTCTGAAGAAGAAGGGAACCAGGTAAAATTAGCTTACTGCCTAAGTTCACTGAATGTCCCACTTTTCTTCACACTTACATACATACAGCATAACATACAGACCCAAGATCTGAACTGTGCTTCAAATTAAATGTCACCACTGTTCCACTGGTTGCAACCAATGGAGACATATGACTCTTTTCAGAATCTATATGAAAAACTACTTCTGCTTATGAAATCTTAAAAGTAGGCATCACAACAGAAATACAAATGTCACATTATTATTATTTCTCACAGAGCACCAAAAACGTTTTCACATGGAATCACTAAGATTATGTATGACTCACCGCCTCCTCAGGTTCCGCGTCTTTGGGCTCATCTGCTTCAGAGTCTGGAGCTGCTGCTAAACTCGTTTCAGGAGCTGGAGCTGCGGCAGGGGCTGGGGCTGCTACCTCCTGAAAAAACCCTCCAGGTCAGCATGTGTGACAAAGCTAATACATAAAGGTCTGACACAGCTACAGATCATGCACAAGAAACACCACACACAAAAACAAGTCTGTTCTTGCTGCAATATTCCTGTCTAGCTGATTGATTTGACCATGTTCTGGAAGATGACACTGAGAAGAAAGTAAAGACCAAAGAACAAATCAACCTGAAGTGGAAGAGACTGGTGAAAGAGATGATAAAGTAGATTAATAAATGCTCATATCCTCCTACCAATGCATAGTATTTGAGTTTATTTACAGTGAAAGCAAGTACAGTAATAAAAGTAATAAAAATTGTTCTTCAGGTGACCTATGTCTGTTATGAGCAGCATCAACAGCTGACAATGTGAGTGTGAGGCAGGATCAACAGGAACTGTCAGCAAGATTCCTTTAGGTTTGTGACTGCAAAAACACTGCTCACAACAAAGCAACATGGACAACAATGGTTATCAAAGCTAGTCAGACAAACATAAACTAACAACCTAACAAACAGAATACAAATTAAATGTGACGATCCCTGTGAAAAGCATGATGGGACGTGTGACAAAGTGAGACAAACGGGAAAAGGGAAAGATTTTGTTAGGAGAAACAGAATGGACACCACATTGTGAGAGGAAGGATCGAGAGAGGAACTGGACCTTGGCGGTTGGGGCAACAGGAGTGCTAGAGAGCCAGAAATCCAGATCGGAGGCCTGGAACAGAGAGGGCAATGTGAGGAAGATGAGTCTAAGAAAACAGCTCCATGATGGATGTTTCAACCAACACATGTGACCTTCGCACTGCAGCACATATACTTTGCAAAGTAATCAAAATCTTGTGATAAACCCCGAGCTGAAATATGAGGATCAGAAAACCTAGCCAATTCAGGTGACAGGCCAAAACCTTTCCTTTGTTAAATTTCTTTAACTAAACAATTTCTGGTCTGAGTTTGCCCCAATGAGTTCAACTTTCATCCTTTTGAAATATATTGGCCTTGACTAATGGCATAGCTGTGTGCTACCATATAATTTTTTTTTATTCCACTGTCATGCTGCCTAGTTTAGTGCAAATTCAACACAGCAATGGAATTTTGAAATGCAGTTAACCAAGAGCCACCAAGCAGTAATACATAGTTGTATAAAAGCATCATAACATAAATTAGTAAAGAATTGTTTTTAATTGCAAAGAATCTCAGTACTGCACTAATTTAAGATAATGGCAAGAAGAGTGTTTGCCAGTATGCTGTAGGGATGTGCACTCAATAATATAAACAGAGTTTTCGTAAGAGTTCATAAGAGAACACATACCTGGTTAATTGCAGGGAAGGAAAAAGCAAAGGGGGAAAAAAAAAGGGGGAAGCACAGACTAGCATAGGGCTGTAGGCTTACTTTTTAGATGATCGCACTAGAGGTTAAAATTGAAAAAGGTTTATTATGCCTTAGAGTATGTTGTTAATGTTATATAGACTCAGCTTTATGTCACTGTTTATCCTCTGTTAGATTGATTTAGTTTTTTTGATTTAATCAAAATATCGTACCTATAGTTGTATGTACAGAGATAACTATGAATGTGTGCTACGGTAGGACACTGACACCAAACACACTATTCTGCCTTCTCAGTCATGTCCTTAACAATGTCTTTGTATCGTGCTGACGTTCAGGCACCCGTTTTAGAGTAGCAAAGCATAATACATATACTTGCAAAAGTCACACTTTATAGTCATTTAAGGAAAAAAAAAAAAAACAACAACTAAAATCCATGTTTCCCTGAATTGTTAGCCTGCTTATTTTCTCAGTTTTCCTTTGAAAGTAATGAACTGACTTCAGAATTCAAACACTGGCACCCTGAACAGTTAACAGAGCACTCAAGTATATCTCTAGTATGTTGGTCATGATCAGCTGTCACATCATCTCTGTGACAGGATTATATAGACCGATAGCAATTAAAATTAAAATGTAATTAATTATTAAAAAAAAAAAAGGAAAAGCAAATGACCATTACAATTACCTATCACAAAGACTCTAAAGAAATAACATGCATACAGCATAAACCAGGAATGTCAGACTTCAAACCTTGAAGACCACAGAGCTGTTTTGCAGGAATGCAACAATCCAATATATCATCTTGTATAGTTCAAAACGAACCTCTCAATTCAATAAACACGGGCATCAAACATCACATTCAAAAATTGAAGAAAAAAATTATTAATTTTAATACTGTTTTCAGTGCATGAAGTGCATTAAAAATAGGGTAGACGCTTCCTTTTCCATAAATCTAGCTTTCTGTTTACCCCATAATAGAGAACACTGACGAAAAGCGCTCTTCATAAGCGTATATTAGCTCAAGGCTAGCATATTAGCTTATAGCTAGTGAACTTTAAAACAACATATCGTTCTGACCATGCTTAATGTTAACTTGCCCACTTAAAAATGGTTCTCCAAGTGTTTTTAGTAAAGAAAATATAGAACCATGAAAACTCACGATTTTGCATGATTAAAGGCTTCTTTAAATCAGGCAAATTGCACCAGAAAGGGATCTTCTATTATTACAAGCTTGACATTGTAACAACAGAAGAATTGTTTTTGATGCTATATAGAACCCTTTTCAAAAAGGTTCTACAGAGAACCATCTACAGCACCATTCTCCATCAATCTGAAGAACCATTTAATAATGCAAAAAACGCTTTGATCATGCAAAAGGTTCTTGGCATGTTCATGGTTCTATTAAGAACCATTTTCTTTACTAAAGAAACCTTGTAGAACCATCTTTAAGTGTGTGGCTTAACACACAGGATTCAACAAATTAACACAAATGTCTAAAAGCTGAGAAAAATATCTTATAGCAGAGTAAACACTAAACAACTCTCTGGACATGAAATCAACTGTAACTGTTCATCCCTGTGCTGTTGACAAGACTGTGCAACCTATATCACAGAACCTTGTGATGTCATACCTCAGCAGATGTAGAGGTAGGTGGAGCTGCCACCTCATTGGTCTCTTCTGATTTGACCAGTTCTTCTGCTTGAGGCTCTGTTGGCTCATCCTCTGTGTCATGTTTGTGTTTCTTCTTTTTCTTCTTCTCCTCTTTGCTTTTCTGGAGCATCAGCGACAACAAAGCAAATTATAGTTATAAATCAAAAAACACACTTAGGATAGCCTTATTAGAAAATACCTCTAATTGTCCTATCAATTCACTGCCCACAAATGTATTTAGGCAACACGTTTTGTTTCTAAATAACAGCCATTCCTGTCGGAATCAGTATCCCTTCTCACACTAAAATTCACCTGGCATACCTTCCTGTCCTTATCTTTGTCCTTCTTCTTCTCTTTCTTTTCTTTGCTGCTCCTCTTCTTGGGCTCCTGTGGGACACTCTCTACATCTCCATCCTCCCCAGGGCTCTTTAGAGCCTCGGAGCGGTGTGTCCTCACTGGAAGCTTTTCGGTGTCTGCCAGGGGCCTGAAGGGGGACACAGACACACAGCTTTCAATCACACGCATTCTTTGTGTTCCCAATGCACAGGGCTAGACTTTCCAGGCTGAGCGCAGCAGGGGTAGATCTTTCAGATTGCATTATTAAGAAAATGCCAAAACAAAATGAAAAGGTCAGCCTTGACAAAAAAGGGGGCAAGGATGTTGAATGCTGGAGCAATCTTAACTGGGTCCAGAAGCTTTTTGGATGAGTCAGTTACAAAGCAATCATTCAGCATGAATTGTGCAGAGATAATTACATGTGCCAGCTCAGCCCAGACACCAAATCCAGGCATGATGACGCTTTCTCACACTGAAAAATAATTTTATACTGTAAGATAACCACTGGTTTTCAAGCACAAAATAATTAAACATCCTGAATGAGCGCTTTACTACTAGCTACGCAAACACACAGCTCTCAGGTAAAGGACAAGATCTGTTACCTACACACCTACAGACATATTTAAGGACAGGAGAGTACCAGGGCTTTGTTTTAGGTTGCCCATCACATTACCCCATAGAACTCTATCACTCACCTGCAGTTAGTGCCAGAAAGCAGACTAGTAGGAAGACACGCACGAGACAGAAAGAAAAAGGCAGATCAAAGAGTGTTTGAGAGTGGGCTGGCTGAAGACTGCCTTCAACGGTGCCCCAACACCATGAGTGAGACATATTTAACTATCAACACAAAAAAAAAAAAAACATACAACAAAAGGCAAACACTAAACAGTCATTCTGGAAGGTATGTTCATTTTTGCCAGAAACCGCCTGCTAAATAAGAAGAGGCGACTACATGTAAAAAAGGACTTTGATTTATTAAGCAGGACGTATTTTATTGTAGTCAGAACAAAACATCTTTTCCTCAAAGTGGTAATATAGAGAAGGAACTGTTAACTTTGTGTGTTAATGAAAACAGATTTTATTCCTGATAAATTGTTGACCATTTCTGTTGGTCCATTAATCACGAAATATTCACATGATGTAAAGGGCAGCTGGCATTTTTAAAATGCCATACAAAAGACAAAACAAAATGCAGCAAGTAGGTCTGACATGACAGCGACTACACAGCAAGTGACACTTTGTAATCTATACAAGGCAGACTTACTTGTCCAAGTCTATGTCCAGGGCTTTGTGCGGATCATTAGGGTCTTTGTCATCATCATCACTTGGTAAGGCATTCTGAAGGCACACAGTACAAATGTCAAAATACAGGAACTATTCCCTTCTTTTAAAGGTCATGTTTCACATCAGAAACATCTGAATGTAATGTGCTATTTATCTGCCTTACCTCTGGCATTTCCTCTGTGACTATGTCCACCTGGTGAGCAGGTGTAATGTCTTCCTCACTCTCAGGGCCTGAGTCGTGCTTCTTGCCTTTCCCATGCTTCTCTCTCTTCTTCTTCTTCTCTTTCTTTTTCTTCTCAGCCTTCTCCTTCTGACGACGCTCTTCCTCTAGCTTCAGGTACTGGTCGGACATGGGCATCCCTGAGTGAGGAGAGTGCGACAGTGGGAGGGAAAAAAAAAAAATAATGAAAGAAGTAACTGATTTAGTGTGAGGTGCTTAAGCGTCACATTTTATAAGCAGTACAATTCTAACCAATAACTAGCATCATATGTGTAATTAGATAGAGAAGGACAGGCTCACCTGGGACTTTGAGAGGCACACTGAGGTCTATCTGCACCACTGGAATGTGCTCTACACCTGGCGTGTCCTGATACACCTGCAAAAACAAGTGCACACAAAAAATTTTATTTACAAGAAACTTCAGGAAACTTTAGAATACCGCACAGTATATCTGATTTCTGTTGATTCTTTTCATGTGGCTTACCTTCTGAGATGATGGGGAGGATTTGATATAGAAGGGGTTGTTGGCCTGTTCCTGCTTCCTGGCTTCCCTCCTCTGTTTAGAACGAAAGCACAAGGAAGATTAGCAGGAGAGCCAGTAAGAGCAAAGGATTTTGGGTCCATAGTAATCCTAGTGACCGCAAACTAGAACAGTCAGAAAAAACCCTGCATTAAACTTAAGGCGTAAATAAGGAAGTCTTTATGAGAAGCAAAATAACGTAAAGCTTGTCTTCAATATCTCCAGGAGTGTTTATTTTAGATATTTTAAATCTGCCAGTCAAGAAAAATGATGATGAACTATATGTACATGTATGCATTTAGCAGACTCTTATTCAGAGCAATCCACAATTTAGAGATAGGTGAATGTAGTGTAAGGAGTCTTGCCTAAGGACTTCTATTGGTATAGCATAGCGTGCTTGACCGGCAGAGAATCACACCCCAGTCTATAGTGGTGCTGAGGGTAGCAATATTACCCACATATTAGTCTGAGCAAACAGATTTTTTTCAATTGAAATTCTATGTCAAAATAATTGTAACCTTTGTTAATATTTCATGTTACTTGCCCACATTTTAATAGTTCAAATAAGCAAAACAAATCGGCAGCATTTTTGTAAAACATATGACCCTGTGACCACGACAAAAAAGTCCGTCATTAAAAGTGTAAAATTATAAGTCAGGAGGTCAAAGGTTGTATGTTACTTTTGCTGGATAACGACAGTTCAGCAAAATCTTGTGATTCATGCTGCAAGATGTATAGAAACAATGAACAATGAGTATGAATATGAACAGGGACTAGGGCACACACATACAATACAGGGCCCTAAAAACAGGTGGCCATGTAAGGTTAAGTGTTTGATGCTGGAGTGTTTCAATAGATGTTTATTTACCCACCCTTGCCAGCTCTTTCTCATCTACTTCAGTGTGACGAGGTCGAGAGTGTTTAGTTTCCTCTTTAGCAAACACAGCTTTGGGCTTCTCATCCTCAGACTCACTCTCAGATGGAGGCTCATTAATCCAGGCGTCCAGGTCCAGACTGCAAAAGCACTCATTTCAGTTGGTGATTTTGTAATGGGGAAGGGAGTAAAAAGATTAGGGCTTGTTCACTTTTACTTTTCAAAACCAACAAATGACCATATGGTTGACTTCCTGCAAATTATTAATGACTCAAAAAACTGAGTTCACCGTAGTATTGGACAGTTAAAATTTTCTCTCAGGTATATTGTTTTGTCTGTTAGCTGGGGCCTTGTCTGCAAAATAAGCTGTGGACAAGCTGGCACACATAGCATGAATGACTAATATCTTCTAAATTTCAGCAACAGTGTCTCACTTTTGAAGGTGTAAGTGTACTCAAGACACACCTTTTGTTTTTACTATTTTCCACATTTGATATTTACTTTGGTTGTTAAAAACAGTTGTTATTAAAACACAAAAAGACATCCACACACACTCAAAACTTATAAATGAAATAATGGTTGGCCACACTGCCCACTACTACTTCACAGTACAGAAAACATGTACTGTTGCGGAAGGCAGGTGGACTGCTCCTCTAAGCTAAATGGATGTGCTGGCATCCAGTTAGCAGACTCACCCTTCAGGCACAGGCACTTTCTTCTGGGCCTTAGGGGCCACAGGGTTAAGCTCCCCTGCAAACAGTGCAGACACCTCTTCAGCCACCTCCACATCCTTCTGCTGGAGTTTCTGGATGTATTTCACCAGCTGCAGGATACAGGATGCCTGTAGGGGGCAGGAATGTGGCATCAAACGACTGCACTGGGCCAAGAGTGAATGTGTGTCTGTGTGTCAGTATATCCCACATATCGTCTACACATAAAAGGCAGGGTTAAGTAGGACACTTTAACTGGAGGAGAAAGGCACATTTTGTGAGTGCATACATGTATATACATTTTAGTGATGTCAAAGCCAACACATTTACATTATTAGCCACACACAATTTTTGGACATTGTTCCTATTTTGACCTATCAAACCAGCCACAGTAGGGCAGGCTGCAGCCCAGTTGCTTGCAAGTTGTATTTTTTTTAGAATCTGTGATTGTGGCCCTCTGGTACAAATATAGCTTTTAAATGGTGCTTGCAGGAGATGTAAGGATAAATCAATTAGCAGCAAACAAATAAAAGCAACAGGAAAAAAGGAAGATAAAATGTACCCCGCAAGAGCCTCCACAGTTACAAGAATACATGAGCTGCATGAAATTTGAAGCTTATTTTCTCCACTCATACAGCTATAAGAAAATGCACTGCATTTTTAATGAAAACAAAGTGGGGGGTGAAATTTGTGCAAATAAACCATTAACTATACAAGTTAATGTAATTCACCATAATTCATTTTTTTAACCAATTATTCATATGAGAGCCCTAGTATAACTCAATCCTCACCCTTTCTTGTACTTCCAGGTTAGCACTCTGGACAAAAAGTGGCAGTCTCTCTACGAGAAGTTGGCTGGTCTCCTGTGCAGCCTGGCTGTCTGTCGCCCCCTCATGCTTCCTCAGCACTGTAGCAAACAGCTTTGCAGCATTCTGCACATACACAGCCTGAATGTGGCCTGGCAGCGTAGCCACTTTGGGCCTCAACATGGCCTCCAGTGTCTGGTTTGGATCCTCCAGGTGCCTGAGAAAGGAATAACACAGTAACAACTTTAAAATAAGCCAATACTTGACTTCAATATTTACAGAATGATGTCAAAATATCTAATTGTGAGTTGGATCAAGGTCAAAAGCTCACTGTTAATGAGGTAGCCCAGCAAAATCTAAACATTCTTTTAGCAAGCTTTTCTAAAGTACAATAAATGCATCATCAAATATCAGTTAAAGACATTGTCAAATCTAAACATCTGTCTAATATCCAGATTTTTTTAAGCAATTTGCCAATACCACTATGCATCCAAAATAAAAAGCTTGGAATAATATCCACCGTTCTTATTTTTATCAAACCATCTCTTGCCTTCTATGTAGAGATGGAACAATCGATCAACTATGTTTCGGTATCGGCTGAAATTTCTCCGATCCTGAGAGTTGACCAGTGACATAAACCATATGAGCCATATTTAGGTATTGCTGCACCCTTGCGAGACGCCGTTTGGTCACAGAATCCTGCAGTTTCTCTTTCAAACACTATATGACTTAAAAAATAATAAAAACAAACAAAAAAACTAAACAAAAGACATAACTTTTGACTATGGGACTGAAGGCCTATTTACAGAGTCAGAGTTTTACAGACGCAAAAAACGCATGTCAAGTTGGTGGACTTGATGTGAAGGTCCCGCTACGTTAAAATCACATCAATTTTTGGACCTCTAGACCACTTCTTTTATATCAATTTACAGTATGACATACTCAGAGAACTCTCCGCAGATCCAGGCGGCAGCATAAAGGACCTCACAGATGCCGTTGCGCTGCATGTTGCCTGTGAGCAGGTGAGCGTTGTCCAGCAACATGGCCATCTGAGCCACAGCGAAGGCTCGAATGGCCTTGACGCGAATGGCCACGTCCAGCATTTGAGAGGCAATTAGGTGACCATGCCGTGTGCCTTCCAGTCGAGTTAACTCCACCAGAATGCTGATGTACCTGAGCAGAAAGAGAGTGGGACAGTAAAGTCTCAAATGCCCAAATTAATCTTTTACAGTCCAAGCTGGTAGCAATGAACTAATTACAGCCTGAAAGGGACAGAAAGATTGGATATGAGAAAAGCGGTGAATAGACCACTTCCTGATTGAACTGCAGAGTTTAGTATTGCATGTGTGTGGACTGTGTCCTTACCACTCAAAGTTGGTGATGTACTGATAGTTGCTCTGGCTGCAGATGTCAATGATTTTGGTGAGCAGCTCATCCCTGTATGTGGTGCCTTCAGCCTTGTCGACGTGCAACATCAACTTCTTCACAATCTCCATCAGGTTCTTCTTAGAGACCTAGACACAGAAGAATGCACAAAGCAGGGAAAAATAAAAAAAAATTATAAACTTATTTTCTTCGCATAGGCTATCTAAACTTTATCAAGATCTCTTAAAAGGGCAACGCCTTACAACACCAGATGATTTACTATTTGTTCACTGCTTAGTATAGCATCTCCAGTGGAATTATAAAGATGCAACTGATCCTCCAATGTGCACAAATCTTGAACCCTTGAAATCTTGGCCTTGCTAATGCCTTAAATAAAATACTAAATCAAAGAGCTAAAGAGTATGAGCAGCCACCATACCATGCCATAAAGCAGGTCCAGAGCCCTAAGCCGGATGGACTCGTCTTTGTCGTCCAGACACTGCAGGATTAGGTCCTTGTGAGACTGCACTGATTTCGGATGTGTCTTCAGAATCTTGGACATGGCCAGCAGACCCAAGTACTTCACTGCAACCCATGACATAAACTCAACCAGTGAGGGACAGTAATGCAATATACAAGCTTTTTAAATGCTGCTACTACTAGCTATTTACTATTAAAAACACTCAAAACAGAATATAATATCTGTCCACTTTCTGACCAGTTTCTGCTATAACTTTCAAGAGCTTCTTGTCTACTGGCTATTTTTTCTACTCTTACATTCCAAACTCAAATTTCTATGAAAATGCTAAAACAATACATTTAGACTATATAGTAGGTTGAGACATGGAAAAAGATAAACGTTAAGAAAACTGAGCTACTATACAGTACTGTGTAAAAGTCAGAGATTTGCTATCGTTTATTTCATTTATTAACAAAATAAAAAGACAAAAAAAAATAAAATAAAGAAGCTGCTAGTGTGCTCAGAATGATGGACTGGCCACATCAGAGCCCAGACCTCAACGTCACTCAGTGTGCTCAGGATTACTTGAACCATGAAAAGCTGAGAATGCAACCAACCTCTAAGACTAAGACCTTTTAGTGGTGTGGAAAAATAGCTCTGAAGATTTACTTGAGCTTGGTATCCTGGAAAGAATAAAAGCTATAATAAAAGCAAAAGGTAGAAATACTGAAAAAAAAATGTATATAGTTGTTGAGGCTTCTATGTAATTTTCTGTTAAATGTATGTTTTCCGCTCCCACCCAACACTGAAAAATGGAAATTGTTGGTCTCTGACCTTTTCATAGTGCTGTAAATTATGCATTAAAAGTAAATAATGAAAAAAGCTAACATCATTAGGTCTACATTACATCAAAAACACAGTAAGAACACACAAACACAAAACACAATGGGGAAAAACACACACACAAACACATGGGAAAACACAAACACAGGACACACGGTTTTGGTGAATTTTTAGAACACAGTGGCATTGTCAGTTTGACCACTGGTCAGCTTGTCAGGACTGCAATGAGCCATTATGCAAGCCAAGCTTGATCGATCTCACACGAGTATCTAATCCCTGAATATGGTTTAAAACTGCTATGAAGACAATGAGCTCTCCATAAATCTTAAGCCTTTATGCTAAACTCCAAGCAGAGCTACAGGGTGTCCACCTAACAGAACATTATATGCAGTAATCAATGCTTTATAGTGACCTCCACTGCTGCTGTAGTCAATACTGTGCCATGGTTATGCCACTATTCATTCCCCCCGACCAAGGTCTTGATTATTATTCACACTGTATATGAGGACAATTCTAAAATGTTTAATCCACATCAACAAAGAGTATATAATTTGAACTATGATCAATGAAAAGTGCAAAACAGGTTGGTCAATTACACAGAGAAATGAGGTCTGAATGGCAGGATACTTAACACACTTTTTTTCTAACCACATCCTCTCACTAGTTCTAAACAGGTTACATTTTTTTTCTTGTCTTAGAAAAGTGGCAAGGTGAGCAGAGCATCTGCATGAATGAAATTTATGGCACAAATAAAGCTCAATATCAAGCTCTCAATAATGTGCAGTAATGCAACTGATCCTAAGAGACCTTATATTATATGATAAGGGATGCCTTATTGCCTCTAAATGTATGTATAAAGAACCTTTTTGGGGAAATTATGAAAAAGGTAATCACCAAGATACAAAACACACCAGTCTAGGAACTGCAAAGCTACTCTAAACACTGCACTCACTGGGGGCCTGATAACTCGAATCCTCCTATTCCAGTGACACAGGTCTGAACTGAGAGAGATGCTGTTTCATGGCATATATACTTGGCAGGGCTGTGCTTTTACAGCAACAAGCCATCCACAAATTTAACAATACATCCTAATTGGAAAATATGATTTTACTACCACAAATTACATATTTAAAGATTTTCAGAAGCTTTTCAAATCCACTTGATAATGTAGTCTAAACTATAGCACAGAGGCAACTTCGAGTTATCCACGATGGAGGTCACCAGGTCCTCCATCTTTAAGGGCTTGGCGGGCTGTGCACCAACACAGAAACACGCAGACAATGAGAGAATGACACACTGCAGGCATTGACAGAAGGCTCACAGTTCTGGTCCGAGTCTTCAATCAGGATTCGCAGTTTCTGCACACAGAGCTGTGGACAGGAGAGAGACACAGAAAGAAAGAACAGAAGAAATAAAAGAGAAAGAGAGAAAGAGAGTACAAGAAGAAATGGAGAGAGAGGGGAAAAAAATCATTACTACCATATTAAAGACCTTTCCACACCAGCCCCAGTATTTACAACTGATAGTTACACAGTTATCAACCTTCTCAGAATAAGAGCACTGATCTAGAGTCAGTTTTTGCCTGCCGATTCCTAATAAACACAAATGCATCAACAGTTCTGAGATCAGTAAACCTACTTTGAGATGCTTGATAATCATGTCATTAAAAATAATTACATTTCGGTGACTGAGGAACACTGCAGTCAGTGACAAAGCCTTTCTTATTTAACTGGAGTGGAAAGGGTTGACCTCATGAGAACTAGAAGCACACCATAGCCAAGAATGCAAAGCACTGAGACCCACCTGAATACTAGCACTGTGGTTGGGCATCCCCGAGGACAGAGAAATCAACACTGCATATGACAAAGACAGACAGAAATTAATTAAAATAAAAAATAAATTAATAAAAAACAACCATCTGATGGACAGTCAATTTCAATGGAATCCTACTGACCTGCTATCACTGTGTTGACACATTCATACAGGAGTGACATAGCTGAGGTACTACAAGAAAGGGAAAGGAAAACAAAGAAAAGGAAGTGTAATGTTTCAATTCTGACTGAAAATAGTTTGCAGTCACGTTATCAGTCCTGATAATCTTACCTGTGAATGAGGTTTGTTAAGGGCTCAATCAGCTTCTTTCCTAGTCGAGGCTCCAGAGGGGTGAGGGCACCAAACTGAAAAACACACACAAATACATATATCTCTGGAGACAGACAGACACACACACACACAAACAAACAAACAAACATGTATGCATATACAGTAGTTCGCCCTCCTCTTACCAGCTTGATGATCTTGATGAGGACCCAGTTGTTGGTAGACGAGGTCATGAGCTTGAAAAAGAGGGGGGCCAGGGACAGGTAGTTTTTGGGGTTCCTTCTGGCCAGCTCACAGATGACATTAACTGCTGCTGACTGCACACCTGGTACAGAGAGCGTATAATACACATTTAAACTTTTAAAATTTAAAATTTGAACTTAACAGATGCAAATATCTTGTTTGTAGTAGTGGGCAGTGTGGGCAAAAATTTATCATGGTTTAATGAAGATTATTGATGGTCTTGGTTTATATGCACACAGAAAGCCAGCTAGGCTAATGGCTAACAGCTAACCCCAAGAGACTTTACCCCCATTAACTTACTAATTCATTACCTTTTAATGTCTGCTCCTTTGACAATAAACTGGACTAACTAACTTGTGGCTGCAACTCACTACATGAGAGGTGAGGGAATCAGGTCGTTTTGCACTGTACGTTGCATTATCTGGATATACTTGTATACTGGTATAACAGTAATGACATGACTAATACCTTAAAAAAATTCAAACAGTATACCAGATGAGAGTGTGTAAATGAATGCATATGTCTGTCTGCCTTGCGATGGACTGGCAACCTGTCCAGGGTGTTTCCTGCCTTCTGCCCAATGACTGTTTGGATAGGCTCCAGCTCCCCCCACGACCCAGAAGGATAAGCGGCTTGGAAAATGTGTGTGTATACCAGATGAACTGGTCGATCGCCCACTACTACTAGTTTGCTGTTTGCTGTTATAACATGACGGGCAACGGTACAAATGCCCGCTGCAAAATCTGTAATACCAGTATTTCAATGAGTAAGACATTAAGCAAGGGAAAATAAAAGCTTGCATACTGTTTTATTGTCTATATTTAACTACTGTATAAAAACTACAGAGTTCATCCACATTTATGTGTTCAGTATATATTACTCATTACAAATAATTCTGAAATCATAGCGAACTAACTGAATTACACTGTGGTGAAATTTGAGACGTAATGATACACTGAACTGTTTTATTAAGAATCCTAAGAATGGTAATCGAACTGTTGTGAGGCTAGAGATTTACACCACCACTACTGACTGCATCAAATTGTGGGATTTTTCTACATACAGATGCATACTACTTTTCTGAACTAGTACTGTACAGATTTTACAGTGGTCATTCCTCACCTGGGTCAGGATCCTCCAGCTTCTCTTTGAGACGGGGGAAGGCAGGGCGCAGGGACTCTGGGTACTTCAGGAACACTTTATACATGATAAGAACAGCTTTCTTCCTGATGTACGGCTTAGTGTGGGACATCTAGGAAGTGATATAGAGTGAGACGGTGAATGAGAGCACAAGAGAGAGAGTAAGTGCAGAAGAGATCAGGAGATAGTGATTGTGACAAACAAGATCTGTGCAAATCACCATGAATGAGTAAAATGGGGGACAAGCAGGAAGAGCACAACATTTTCTAAAAATCTTACATTTGCTCTCAGAAGGAGACCCCTTCATTACACACAGATGTTCATAAGCACCTGCTTCATAATCCTTCACTATACATTTATAATAAACCTCACCAGTGTCATAATGTCGTTGGCCAGGTCACGAGCCAGGTCAGGGGTCACAAAGCAGGAAAGGCCAGTCAGGGCCACACCCGTGTCATACTGATTTGGACTACTGAGATCCTGGTGAGAGAGATAGAGAAAGAGTATGAAGCACAAACAAATCGCCCACTTTCTCTTCATATATGTTAGTCATATAACCATAGTAAGTCCATGAGTCAATATGATTGTGACAACCCACACAACATTGGTTGTCTAAAGCAGGTGTTGGCAGCGTTCGGCTACACAGTGAGGTTTTGTTCATTTTTATAGTTCACATTAAATCATACTATGTCCTAAACCACATCAACAAGTCTGTGTGCATCTTTAATAAACACTAAATGAAGAGGTCTGAGCAAGATGAGGGAAGTTTTGTCCACATATTTATTACGCGTTGGTTAGCAACATTGGCCTCATAGAGCTCAAGTGCTAAATTAAAGAGGCAAAATTTGCAGACCAAATTTGTTTTGACTAATTGACTACTTCTGGGGAAAGCAGAAAATTGTGCACATTTGATTTTCATTGCTTTAATAATCTTTAATCAGGTGTTTAAACAAATGTCACCCAACCTGTTATTGCCTCTCACTAAGTGAAATATCCACATCTACAAAAGATGACAAAGAGCCATACAGTTTATTACTGTGCAATTGAGTTGTCATTCTACTGGTAATTTGTAGTATGTTAACCCACATACATTTCACATAATTCAGGGTTGTATACCTAACAGCATAAAATGTTTTCTTGTTGGTACAATCAAATGCCATTCATTTCAAACTATGGACTTTGCATTAGCAAAATGGTTAAAATGCCTTCATAGTCATTTCCTACTGCTTTTGGCCTCTCCCCTTTCACACTAAGCTTGTGCCTGCCATGCAGCATCATCAAGCATCAATGTGCTTAGAGGGAGAACAGTAACAAGCATCAATGTGCTTAGAGGGAGAACAGTAACAGCCCGATTCAGTCTGTGTGAGCTAGCAGATGCCCAGATTGGCTAGCTCATCGCTTAGATCAATGGTGGGAGAGGAACCCTGCTGGGCTTCACAGCTAATGAGTGCACAGCCAATAGTGCTCTTGTGAACCTGCAGCCACAGATGGTGAATGGCACCAGAGGGACTCAAACTGGTGCCCAGACAGTGAGAGCTCAACTGTGCACTGCATGAAAACTAAAGACTGAGGAAAAAGGAGTGAAAATATGATACAACTTACCTTGCGGATCTGATTGGTGGTCAGCATGATGACATCAGTGCCTTCATGAAAGCACTGTGAGGCAGCCAGGTAGCCAATTCGCTGAGAGAGATTAAGATAAACAAAACATATCATCCTACATCCCATCATACCATATTAAACCCCTTTTTGTTTCCTTAACACGCTTGGAAAATAGAAGGAACAAAGGATGCACTAATATGGAATTATGGAGTTTTTCTTCATGCACATATCTACCAATGTTGGAACAAAAACATAGAACTACACATACCTGGATTAGCATTACATAGAAATATAACATTTATTTCTATAACATTATAAACACAGGAAAGTGAATAAACATTGACATTTTAGCAAAGCAACCCAATGTCTCCTAAACGCTCTGCTCTTCTGGAGCACAATAAATAAATTAAGAAATAAAATCAGAACAAATTCATCATAAAATATCAATTTAAATTAGCATCTAAACATTTGTCTGATGGCAATGTAAAGAAATAACCTGCCAATTCTGATACGATTCTGGTAACATGATGCACCCCTACAGTGAACATTTAATGATGAACTGACAGTCATAGTCCAAAATTAATGTCTATTTGAGTATATATTTAAAGTTATATTAAAGCCTGAGGAATGTTTGAGTCCATTTTTTTCTAGACTCTCACCTTGTAAGTGAATTTGGAAGAGCTCATCACCTCCACGATGTTGAACGCAGCCCAGCTGACATCATAACCCAGCATCTGCAACTGAAAACACACAGCAAAAAACAGTCAAACAACTGTGCATTCACATATTGAAGGAGTAATAACAGAAAAAACACACCACAGAAATTGCAGTTACGAAGGCTGATATGAAGAATCGGTTTATCTGAAATTCAATATGTGTGCAGACAGATGTAATACAGATTGGTGGCCTTACGTAGGTGAGTTTGCAGACAGCATTGGCTTTGACGGCAATGTTGTCCTGCTTGAGCTCCTGCTTGATCTCATCGATGCACGTGGAGATGTATTTGGCCTGTGAAGGGACAATGAAAACATGCTGGATTTCAAAACTGGGAGATAAAGAGGGAAAAAAAAAAACAGGCCAACAGTGATGTGGATGATGCTCACTGAGAAAGTTTCATTTCCTTTTTGCAGCTTCAGGATAACAGCGCACCACTAAATTGAGATTTAAAGATACAAGATAGAAGAGCGGAACCGAACCACACTTTCCACAAGGCACAGCATTTATGATGGTGAACAACAGACTGTTCCACCACAGATGCCTTAATTCATTTACGATATGTAATAAGTCATTACAGGGTACTGAATCAACAGAATTATAAGTGAGCATGAAAAGCCTTAAGCATACAGTTCACAGAATTAAGTAGTTTTTCCACATTACCCCAGATCAATTTTTTTGTTTGTGACTGATAAGAAGTTTGTTCATTAATGGGTTTTGCTTCCAGAGTTTAGGCTTGTTTGTATAGTGTAATGGGAGCATATTGGGGCCAATGTTTGGCCTAATACTTTTCCACTATGTCATCTTAATGAAATTGAAATCAAAAATCTCCCTCTGCCTATTAATCAGACTTAGGGCAAGTAAAAATTAAAAAGTACATAAAATTTTAGAAACAGCCTGAGTCTAGCATAATCTGGTATACAAATATATATACTAAAGCTAGTAAGCAACAGCCGAGTTGAATCAGTTACACCCCAAAAAGCAATTACTCAAAAGATAATGGTCATGTATCATTGTTGTCAAGTAAAAACCTTGTACCTCCATTTTTGTCATTTTTGACTTTTATTGCATAACTTGAACTGCAACTCCCCTTTTTAATTTACACAATGAACGGACCACTGGAAACAGTCTAAAAATACTTGGAAAAGTACCTTCTATTGTGAGTTAAGAGTGATTTTTCCTCCTACTGTAAAATTAGAGATATGAGGTTTTCTTTCTGACCACAACAGCATGTAGAACCATGAACACTCATAGAACTGTTTCAATGTGTAAATGGTCATTTGCATGATTAAATGGATCTTCTTTATGATGGAAAACCTATTGTATATGGTTCTTCAAAGAACCTTTAAAAAGGCAGTATATGGCATCAAAAAGGGTTCAAGAACCTTTTTTTGGAACTATATAGAAGCACCTTTGATATGTATGAGCAGGAAAAGCACTAAGCTGTGCTGGACTAAGAACAGAACTGGACACCCTTTGATTTAATACACAGTGAAAAAGGTCAAATAGGTCAAATTTTAATTTTAATTTGTACATTTTAAGATTTTGCCAATCCGACTGAATAAATTCATATTATAGATTAAGACTAAGGTGTTTATATGCTCGCTCTATTCAACAATAGTTCTAGCATTCCTGTTGCATCTTTCTCATACAACAGGCATTAGGACCAATTTGAGGCCATTGACATAACTGGAATATTTACCACTTGGCTGAAAATTTGCCTAAGTTAGCAATGTCTCAGTGAACGTATCAAGAAACACTCAATATCCTTTTCAGACGAATGAGCATGCTAAGAGGCACTCAAGCTGACTAGCTGAGCCTCTCGCTCTCTCTCTCACTTACTCAATCACTGTGCAAACATACTAAGCTGGTGAGATTTTGAGGACACAACGCACAAACCCACACACACACACACACACACACACACACACACACACATTTCTTTTTAGCCTTCATCTTCTTCCCACATTCTCAGAGTGACCAATAAAGCACAACAAAACTGATAAGAACGTTTCAGTGTAATAATATTCTTTTTTTGAAAAGCTGTTCGTAATTAGAAACATAGTAAGATTTTATTTAAATCAAGCACCAATATCTTACGGATAATGGCTGTGTTTCCATGCAAAGATTTTGCCAATCCGATTGAATAAATTCATATTATAGATTAAGACTAAGGTGTTTATATGCTCGCTCTATTTCAACAATCTGATGGAAAATCTTCGTTTACATGCTCAATACAAGAAATTCAATCCAAAATGACGCGCATGCGTGGAGTACCACTTAGAGTAAATGTTACCATGACAGCAAAACATCACGTGAGGTCCAGTCAGAGTGAGATGAATTTTCAGTTGGCGCACTTGTGTTTTTAATTGCTTTCAAAATATGTCAGACTCAAAAAAGTACCTCACATGTACTTATTAAACAAGGCAGAGAGGAAGACGTCGTGTTCTGAAACACATAAGCTGGACGCCTGTCCCACCGCCGTCTTTTAAAGGTCAGAGCATAAACTTCGTCTCCTCTGCGGACCAGTTTCTGCTCCGCCATGTTGAACATTATTAACTTTCACTACGACGCACATGTGCAGAACGTACTTGCACATTCCGATTGGAAATGTAATCGGATACAGGCATTTACACAGATATTATTCTTCTATTTAACGGGTTATTTACAAGATTACCCACCTCATTCAATCGGATAGAAATTGTATTCCGAATGGCCGCAATCGGACTCAACTATTCCGACTGAAATGTATACATGCACGTATTCTATTTTGATTGAGCTATTAGTCGGATTATTAACGGATTTTTAGGCTGCATGTAAACATGGCTAATGTAAATGCAACACTGTTGTTTGTAGGTTTTGTTCATTGTATAAAAAAACACAACATACAACCAACATTTCCCCACTGTTGAGAACAGAGTCCCTTTCCCTCTTATTAACAAGCTGCACTTTTAATGTGTAAAACACAATGAGCCACATCCTAAACTCAGTGTAACAATAACTTCCTGCTTCGATCCCAGTTTGGTATCAATTCTCTCATTTGGCTCCTCCAAGTCACAAGGTTTAAGCACCCCCGATTAAGAAGTTGATAAATGATGTGGATGTAAAATCAAGGACAGTGTCTTCAGAGCTGGTAGAAAATAGCACACTGAAAAATACCTTCTGATAGAAGACCTTGAATACAATAGAATCTCTCTACAGCACTCTCTTACACAGAGCAGCTGTATGGAGCGAGGGAGCTGGTCATGTGTCTTCAGTCATAAGACAGCATACAGGCAGAAGGAGGGGAGGGAAGGAGGGAAGACGAGAGCAATTGCATTTGCACATGAGACCCCAGCTGTGCTAGAATGAGAAACAGGGCAGAGTCCACAGCAGCTTCGTTCTAGCATTCCTGTTGCATCTTTCTCATACAACAGGCATTAGGACCCATTTAAGGCCATTGACATAACTGGAATATTTACCACTTGGCTGAAATTTGGCTAAGTTAGCAATGTCTCAGTGAACGTATCAAGAAACACTCAATATCCTTTTCAGACGAATGAGCATGCTAAGAGGCACTCAAGCTGACTAGCTGAGCCTCTCGCTCTCTCTCTCTCTCGCTCTCTCTCTCTCTCTCTCTCTCACTTACTCAATCACAACGCAAACATACTAAGCTGGTGAGATTTTGAGGACACAACGCACAAACCCCCCCCCCACACACACACACACACACACACACACCACTTCCTGGCCAAAGCGAAGCTTTCCAGAAAGAAACAAGCTGACACAAAATACTTGGGGAAAACAAACAGAGATGGGCCAGGCAGAATCAGGTTAGGACATAATACTTCACTAAAGGGCCTTTGTACTTACTGACTGAAATTTAGAGTCATTTTGTACACACACACACACACACACACACACACACACACACACACAGTAGCACTTTCAGATTCCAAACAAGTTTGATATGGAAAGATATGGAATTCTTATGTAAATTTCTGTTTACTTTCTGAGTTTAATATGTGGGAAAAAACATACATAAAATATACAAAAACATCATGACTTTTGCACAGGCCACATTTTATGTTTTTCCCCCAAATAAACAGTAATTGTGCATTAAAGTGTGCAGAAGTGTGTTCTTTGCAGAGGATGTGTTAACTTATTTTCACTTAGATGTAATCTGTGGCACCTAAACATTTGCATAAAATTGTATAGAAATAGGTGTGTACAATTTGCAAAACTTATTCAACTCAATATGACGCAGGGCCATCTTTATTTGATACATTTTTGACACAGCAACAATAAGGAGTGCCTTAAATTGTGCCTAATATGTCAATGTTTCCATTTTCTTTTAACATTATAAAGTAGAGTCTGAAAATAAGTTCTGCTTTACAGCATCCCAATCCAGCGCTCTAGCCACAAGCTAATATGCTAAGCGCAAGCGAACACATGTCACTAACTAACATGCTAGCCATGGTGCAATACAATAAGATGCACTGCAACACATATGGTGTATCACTACATCCCTAATCATACATATGAGGGGTGTTAAAATGCACTGAATGATACTGTAATGCAAAAGTGACATTGTGCATCAAGGAGGTGTGAATGTATCAAAGAGAAATGGCATTCTATTACGATATCTAACCCAGTGTTTGAACACCAAAGTGTGCAACAACCTACTCCAGCACCCCTCCTTTCTTCTAGCTTGTGTCGTTAAAAGATTATGCAACAATTTGATTACAGCCATCACTATTCTTCATTCAAACCCTGTTCAAAATATTGAGAAACAAATCAAAAACGGATGCAAATCATGTAAATTGTTGTTGTGATATACTCAAATTCCCTTCCATTTAATTGAAAAAAAATAATACACAGAATTGATGATGATGACGACTACGCTTTTTAAAAGGCAAAATGTTTAACATGGTGATATTCAGCCCTTTGTCCTTGGTTACTTATGACACCAGGCAAAACTGTGGCCGAAAGACAAACTAAAAGACGCACTCCCACACACACACACACACACACACACACACACACACACACACACACACACACACACACAGCCTGATGGTTCATTCTGGAGAGCATCAATATTTCAGCGCTCCATCCACTGTTGGCCAGGTAACAGACACTGTATCTAGGTGAGCAGGTACAGGTTACGCTGAGGGAGCCTTTTGTGACATCTGACTCCACATGTCCCTGGATCAAACAGTGTGATAAGTGCGCACACAGGTAAAGAGACATCAAAACGCCTTGGAAAAAACATTGCTTTCACTCTACATTTAGAACCCCTGATAAAACTAAATTACACAATTTATCGCACACCTTACTGCAAGTTAACAAAAGGCAGAAAAGCAAAGGTGGAAAAGAGCAATACAATTCAATTCAACTCAATTTTATTGTCATTATACCAATACAGGGTTGCACAGTATAACGAAACACTGTCAGGCTACTTCTCTACTGCACTGATAAAAGATATGAAAACAATAGTGCAAAGATAATAGACAATACTGACTGAGCAAATACAGGACATTCAGCCAGGCCTCCAAGCCCACACCCCTATAAGAGGCTTTGGTCAACTTAAAACCACTGCCTAACGAAAAGCAAATATTTAACAGTCTAAAAGTACAAAAATGCCAATAACACATATGCATCATATCTCACACACATATGTCATACTGCTCTTGCAAAGCCTTCTTGACTAATTCTATAATCTAACCTTTCATTTTAGCCTTTTACATAAAATACGGATAAACAAATGGTGTCATTTTGGCATACAAGACCACTGAATATTACAAATCTCAGCAGCCTATTCTTGCACTTATTTATAACTGCATTGTGCAGTGGGGTCACTCCTTTACTGCATTTCAGATATGAACTAAAAAGAAATTTTAATAAATACGAGATTGATTTTTGCGTTTTGACTCCCAGTACACAATCCAGAAAGACATTAAAACTCACTTTACTTATTCAATGCTATTAAATGGTCTGTTTTAATGAAGTGAATGTTAAAGTAGGTGCAGCTTGGACAGGCCCTTGGGATTACACACTGAACCTGTGTTAGGTAAAGAGGCTGCTGCAGGAATGGCTGGAATTGGGAATTTAGACTTAATGTTTAAAAATGCCTCAGAAGTGTTTGCTGTGGCACAGCAAAGATGGAATAGTTGATGAACTGCACTGCCACTCATCGTTTAGATCACTCATGCAATAAGGGAGCTGGTCTCAGGTCACAGTACAATATAGGCAGGGCTGGGTATTGAAATTCAATACTTTCATGGTATCAACTATATTACTTTAATGCCCCAAAGTACTACAAAAAAGTGATCATTCAATACTAATTTTCAATACCTACGATAGCGATCTCATCAGCAAACATGAGCCAATCACCAGACTGGTGGATTTGGCTGTCTAAATTACATTACCCATGTATGTTATAAACATCAGTGCTTCTTGAATGGTCTACAATCTATTGTGGTGAGTAAATACATCCACTTCCAGCACCTCACACTCATTTCTGGCTTAAACCACACCCACCTTTGGTTTGCAGTTTTAGAAAATGTATAGAAGACATTATCATTCAAGAACTGGTATTCAAGTCAAGGTATCAGTATTTATATCAGATTCTGAACAGTACTTTTCTCTGATTGATGAACAAAAAAAATGATCGAAAGAACAGCTAAGGTACTAAAACTGACTTAATGTTTTAACTGTATCATATTAAAGACTTATTTTGCAAGTTAATATATTTTAACAAACTAAAAGCTGTTCATTTAAAAATTTATTTTTAATTTGCCTACTGTGACTGCTTGCAGAGCCAAAGGACGAGTGTGCTTGAGCACATGATCATGTCGGGTTGTGTGGATCCCCTCTGGGCATTCAGTCCGCCCAGCAAGACTACAGCCGAACACGCACTGGAGACAAATGGAGCACTGCTAATATACATGCAGCAAAGATGGCTGATAAAATTACAGAGCAACCTGGCCCACATTTCCTGCCACACAGACACAGCCAGTAGCAGCACTGATGGTCTAACATAGAAGATGACAGCAGCATCACTGACAACACACAGCAGTATCCAACTGTGGCTCTCAAAAGATAAAAGATTTAATATATTTGTATGTGGTTGCACACTGATGTGGGGGAGAGAGCAAAGTGGGCTGTCACAAATTAAATGACTTAAAAAAGTGCATTTTACCTTCATGATGAAAAATGCATACCTTAAATTCACCTTCTAATGTTTCCTACAGTAAAAAACACTGCAATAGACACCCATTAATATGCATTTTCTGCTACGTAGTATGTTTTATATATACTTCTTAAACACTTTATGCTTGTTTTTTTGAAGTATTTCGGCATCTTTTAAAGGCTATATATAAACGAGTGGGAAAGAGAAATATTAAAACTCCTTAGAAATATCACAACTCTCTCTTCAAAGACTCTGAATCGATTCACAAAATATCACCATCAGATTATTAAACAGCATCTGCTATTCCCATACTGTAAAACAAACACACACACCCAGAGACATAATAAGTTAGGATACTCTGGCACAGCCTGGCTTTTCCCCTCAATTTCTTAAAGATTTTAATTTACATTAAAAATTAAAAATACAGGAAAAATAATTCAGGCAATAAAACTAAAAAGTCAAGACAAATCAACAATCATCTGATAATCACATCTTGGCACATGAACTGCAATCTAATCGTGAGGTGCCTAAAGATTCTCAGTCATTATCACATATAACACATTTCGTTATTTGTCAGCAAGGTCTTTTTTTATTGTAAGGCCTTAAAAATTGAGATAACTTGAATAATCATCACAATCATTGGTACAGTTCTCTTACAACCTAAAGGGGCAGGTAACCTGATGTTGCTTCCGTAGAAAAGTGAATGGAGCAGTGAAAAACCTCACTACACACTTTCTGATATTCTTAGCAGAGAGATATCGCCCAAAGGACAAAAAACAGTTCAAAGTCGTTATCCAGCAGAGACCTAACCCAAAAGTGAATCTCTTGATTCAACAAAATCGACCAGCAGAGGTCTCATTGGTTCAAAATAACAGCCAGTAACGTGTTTTACCACAAAAAAGCAGCAGCACAATCAATAAACCTGGCTGCTCCTCACAAAGCTGATGCTGAACCGCCAGGCGTTACCTGCCCACCCAGGTCAGCCACCACACAGCAGCATCTTCAGCACACAGCAGCCTATAAGTTCCCTCTATTGTCTTTTTGCGTTGGTCAACACAGATGACAGCAAAAATAGAGCATTAACATACTGTCCGGCATGCCTCGTGATGTACGTGCTGCTTTTATTATGAACACTTTGGCTTTTACACAGTGTACATAGAGGGCCGGGTCTGCAGGCAGGCGCTGGTCTCAGCTGGGCTTGCATTCATAATGAAAATTCAACTATAGAATCAATTTTCAGTCTGGATCTCAAAGTAAACCAAAGCTGAATATACGTACCTTTAATATCACATTCATATACTGCACAGCTAACTTACGAAGGCCTTCTGCACACGGATCTTGACAGCTAGCTAGCTAGTTAGCTAACCTAGCTAACCATCGTTACTGTGTGTGGCCCACAGTTAACGGCACCAACCTAGCTATGCCCAATTTCAACGTGGCATTTAAAAGACCAACCTGCAAAGTGAACCTAAAAACTGAGGGGGTTGAGGGATTATTGTGCAGCATTAGCGATGATTAACAACCACTGGAAGTGTGGCAAATGTAAATTAACGCAATAGAAAAACAGATGTTATGAGCTTACGAGCTAAAGTCAGCTGTTAACTGACATTTTAGCCTAAGCTTAATCTGGAAGCGGAGCCACCTGGTGTTGGGTGGTACCGACATTAAACTGGTTACGCTTTTTTGTATTATAATTTTGTAAGATAGCCACCTATGTGTTTATTTTCCAACCACCCAGCGTTAAATACAGAGTAAGTTGCTTGTTTGCAAAGTGGTTAGTTCACGTTAGCCTAGCTGGCTAGTTTCCTAGCTAACGCTAGCTAAACCTCTTCCCACTGTAGCTTAAGAAGCAGATGACACGGCCTCCCATTTCACCTTAACGGCAGTTACATTTATGAATGAAAACCCGCTAAATATTTCCACACGCCAAATATAAATCGTCTCACCTCATCCTCCTTGTGATTCCTAATGCCACGTACTAAGTCTTGCAGGTTTTTGTCGAACATCCGATCGATGCTGCCTTTAACGATCTTCAGAGCCATGGCTGCTGCTGCCGGGGAGACCAAGCGGCTGTTCTCTGCGCTCTCAGGCCGCTGGACAGGCTCTCATCCACCCGAGGAGCCCGAGCAGAGCACCGCGGAGTTTTCCCGATCCAACACGGGGAGATGACAGGCGAGACCGGCCAGGTCGCGTCCTCCTGCTTGCTGCAAAACAGTCGACTGTCGGCGGAACCCGTCTAGGAAATGGCTGACAAAATGGCGCCTGGGTCAGCTGACTGACTACATTATTTTTTTTCGCACTTTTTTTAAAAATGTTAAACAGTACTTAAAGTATAACACAGGAGGTGACAAAAAAGGTCACATGAAGACAAAAACTGTAATTTGTAGTTTAGAATGATTTAGAACGCCCTACTGCTCTTTACTTGAGATTTCTGAAAGGAGTAAAAATCTATAATTTGCCGAAAAAATCTTTTGTGAATGTGGAATTTGCCCAGCATACAAGAGTTGGGAAACGTCCATCTAAATTCTTATTATCTGAATTATATATATATATATATATATATATATATATATATATATATATATATATATATATATATATATATATAATGTATGTATGTAAATATAAATATTTATATATAGTTGTATGCACAAGTTTGAACACCTCTGGACAAATGAGGTTTTTATAGGTGAAAATAAGTTAATAATAATAATTTGCTGAGTTTAACATATTGGGGAAAGAACATTGGGAAAAATATCAAATGTGCTTTACCATTTGCACAAGCCACACGTTGTGTTTTTTTCCACCCAATTTGTTAAACCCAGCAAATAAACACTAATTGTGCATTCAAATGTTAAAATGTTCAGTGGTGTTCTCTGTAAGTGATGTGTAATGCTACTTATTATTTTCACTTTGAAAATCAAGAAAAATACCATTTGACCAGGGGCATTCAAGCTTGTGCACATATATTGGTGATGCATCATGCTTGTAAAGTTTGTGTGCTTTTTGACATCTCACCAAACCTCACTGCAACTCGACTCACTGGACACAGCATCACTTTCAAATGTTAATAACAAGAGAAAAAAGAAAGGCCTCGAACATATGCATCATCTACACTTGAAATTATTCAAAGTTAGAGCCACCATGCTGACTTTTATTGATTTTTTTTTCCATTAATGATTAAAAATGATTTGACCAATTTACAGAGCACTAAAAACATGTCTATAATATGCAAGACGAGCAAATGTTGCCTTCAACCAAAATATCTGTATGCCATTAATCCTGTACACAACGTAATTCATTCTACTCAGTGTGCAGACGCTAGAAAGAATTAGTCATGGGAAAACCTGACAACAGGATCTAGCATTAGAAGCCCATTGAGATGCTATTATCAGAAATCATACTCCACATAGGTTAAAAGCCACATGGACTACTGTATGAAAATATTTCATTAGTTCCTGCTGTATGGCTCCATTTACACAGGCTTTTGAGTAATGAAAAACAGGACTTTTTTTCTTTTCTTTTTTCTTTTTTTATACAAAAAAAAAGAGGAAAATAACAGAAAAACGGGAGTCTTGCTAACAAAAGGTGGCTAATTTAGTACCAACCACACCATTCATATCAGGGCCTTGGCATTTCTTTTAAATATCAGAGTTATTTTTAAATAATGCTGACCCCCCCCCCTCCCCAGCTCACATTGACTAAATATTGTTTAGCGCAGGATCTCTGCCACACTGAAACATGTACAAGGCTATTGCTCACCACATGTCTCAATTCCTGTTCAAAGTGTGAACAACATCCATCGAATTTTATATACAACATGAAAAAATGGTGCTCATAAATGGTGGACAAAAACACAAATAATAAAAGGGGCAGAGGGTGGACAAGTGTGTAAAAGAGGGACACAGTCTACAGAAAGAATAACGTCTGCACAGAATACATAAATCAATGACGAAGGTCTCTGTTCAGCTGAGAAAAGAAAACTGCAGTTCCGATCTTCAGCTCTGTACCGGTGGTTCTGTTTCTGCAGCGGAAGTGTGATCTGTTCCTTCAGGTGTGTGTGATCGCTCCTCAGCAGGACTGTCTGCTTCAGGCCTGAAATAAAGCGCATTGCACATTTAAAGTCAAAATGAAATCCAAATGGATCTTATTAAACTGGGGTCAGTCTCATGAAGCAGAATTTCAGGCATAGCCAGATAACTTAAAAGTTAGTCTGGTGTAACCCTGGATTTCTGTCCCACAAGGCTGGATCAGCTTTTAAGCAGGTTACATTACCATGACATTTTACAGTGCACAAGCAACCTGCTCCAGGGAAGGTTATGCTTGGGATTGTGCAGCTCTTAGACCTATCAGGGCCAAGCTTCTGAAGGTTGATGTAAGTGGACCCCTCACTTTTGTTCTTTATGACATTTGTGGCATCAATCATATGAAAAATTTTCAGCAGAAGAAAGAAATTATACTATACCATATTTTTTTATAAATAAATAAATAAATAAATAAATATACACACACACACACACACACACACACACACACACACACACACACACACACATATATAAATACACACATTTCTTGTGAAACAGACTCCTGGTTATTTTAAATCATTTAAAAGACAAACTTCTTGTTTTGTCATGATCTTTGATCATGTAGTGTAGTGACTTCAAAAACATCTGATTTTTGATTATGGCACCAGCAGGCAGAGAAAAAATAATATTAACCAATAATATGTTTCACCTCCTGTTCCGCATTATCTAGCAAAAACATTCAGCAAGACCCCCCATGATAACGCATTTCACTCTGAAATACACTACAGTATCATGTGTGAACATTTCATGATGAACAGATCGATAGAAATGGTTCAATATTACTTTGAATAAAATTTTGTTATGGTAACATATATTAAGTTAAGAATGGTTTCCCTTTCCCACTTTGGAATTTTTTTAAACAACAGAAACACTATGCATTTGTTTTATTGTTCTACAACCATTCAACTATCAATTAGCAATTTTTTTCAGAAAAATCTTCATAAAATTCTCTTTGTGTGAGAAGAGAACTTAAAGACCTATTTGCTATGCATCAAACAAAACAAACTGTTGAATGACAGAATATTATCTAATAGAAATCTAAAAACCTACAGTTTTACACCTGTGTTGCTACATGTTAAATCAGTATATCACTAGATTTAGCATCATGTCCTCAAACTTTAAACTGCTGTTTAAAGAAAAGTGCTCTGAACTGTAGTACATCTGCTCAGACAGAGGCCCAATCCCATTTCTTCTTTTTACCCCTACCCCTTGTTTTCAAGTGTCACCCTAACCCCTTGAGGCCCAATCCCATTTCTTCTTTTTACCCCTACCCCTTGTTTTCGAGTGTCACCCTATCCTCTTGAGTTACAAGGGGTAATGGTTGAAATTTTGCCCTACGAAATGGGACAACCCTCAAATAAAACAACATTCAACATTGCTTCATTAACAGGCTACTAGCAGTGCCCTGTAGGCAAACCAGCCTGTCTTCAGTGATAGCAGAGGAGGGTAAAGTTCAGCAACCTCACTGCTGGGCTTTAATTACATTTAGGGCATCATATGCCTTCAAAGAGGGGGTATAAGACAATTATTTATTATCGCCCACCGCTAATTCTTTGGTGTTACGAAGCTGAAATCAGCTATTCACCAGCTTCTTGTTCGAATTTTCCCGTTCCACCTTAAATGGCGCAGCCGTTACATTCTAGCATTTCAGGCGTCAGCACTGCTGGACTATTTAAGGTGGAACGGGAAAGTTAGCTAGCTAGCTAGCTACCGAGACATTAGCATGCTATTAGCGATTTTTTATGCTTGTTATGAAGAAAACGACCATAATACATTTGAAACGACATTAAACTAGGATAATATAATAGTTATCGTAATTTTTTTAACAGAGAAAATATTTACATTTGTGGGTTTCTTTGGTCGCTCGCGCAACCATCTTGCTGGTTTTTCTTTTTTTTTTTTCATAACACTCCGTTTGGAGTGTGGCTCTGAAAAACCTCCGTTTGGAGGGCCATGTAGCCCTAACACTTCGCCCTACCCCTCTATCTCAACAAAAATTGGGACACCCTACCCCTAGACATGAACACGCAAAACAGAGGGCTAAGGGCTAAGTGGTAGGGGCAAGGGGTGAAATGGGATTGGGCCAGAGTGTGGACTATGGTTGATTTGATTTATAGCAATGATCAATATGGCACCATTGTTAATGTGCATGCCGATATCTTATGAACTTATCATTTACCTGTCGGTGTTCGGAGATTTGTCCTCAGTTGGCTCCTCTTGCTCTGTGGACTTTGGGTTATATTCAGATTCAGAAACAGCATCCTTCTTCACAGCTTCAGACTCTCCGTTCACTGGTTTGGAATCTATGGGATGTCAGAGTGAAAAACGGCAGTGAAAATCCACACAGAAAAAAAACAGTGGGTAACATGATGTAGCAACAAATAATTAAATATGAACTTGCTTTGATTTTTATTCAAACCCAAAGACACTGTGTAGATATGAAGAACTAGCAGGGATGCCAGAGTGATACCACACTGTGAAACTAAGGCAGCTAAATTAGTTTTACCAGTGGAGATTCTTTCATGTAAGCCACATGACTGTCCAATTTGTGCAAGATAAAGTATATTTATAAAGTACAGTGGAAATTATAAAGTAATTTCCACCAATGACCACAGGCAGCCTAGCCTGAAAGGTCAAAGTCCAGATGTTACACTGATATTACAGAAGCAGAATTGTAAATACTACAGACACTGCAAATTCATATTGGATTAAAATCAATCTTGTTGGTGATCACTCAAATTATATTACCTCTCCAGTCCTGTAAGACCAGAGCAATCATAAGGTGTTTCGCTGTTCAAGACACCTATTTAAACCCAGCAGTTAATTACCAAATAGTATGTTTAAGCAAAAAAACATTAAACATCCACTCCATCAGACCAGAGATGTGCTAAGTGGCTAAGTGAACATTTCAGGCAGTTATATGAGGCTAAAACGGTCACCTGTACTCTGTGTTTCTGTTTTATCATCCCTCTCCTTTTCCTTCTCCTCTGGTTTGGGTTTATTTGCCTCCACCTTGCCTACAAACTGGAGCTTTAATTTGTTGTAGATCTCAGTAGCTTTCTCCATTACTGCACTGCTCGCCTTGTATCGGCGTATCTGTAAGACAAACAGAGATGAGATTTCATCAGGTGCTTCAATCTTAGCTTCATTCACAATAAAACT